GACAGAGTCTCGTTCTGTGGCCCAAGCTGGAGTGCAGTGGCTCGATCTTGGCTCACTGCAACCTCTGCCTCCTGGGTTCAAGCGATTCTTCTGGTTCAGCCTCCTGAGTAGCTGGGATTATAGAAGTGTGTTACCATGCTCAGCTAATTTTTATATTTTTAGTAGAGATGAGGTTTTCCCATGTTGGCCAGGGTGGTCTCGAACTCCTGACATCAGGTGATCTGCCCACCTTGGCCTTCCAAAGTGCTGGGATTACAGGCATGAACCACCGCCTGTCTTATTTATTTTTTGTGATGAGGTCTCCCTGTGTTACCCAGGCTGGTCCTGAACTCTGGGGCTCAAGCGATCCTCCCACCTCAGCATCCTAACTAGCTAGAACCACAGGTGCATAATTTTTTTTGATGACTTGTGACACAGTCCCAGGAGGTACTGAGAGCATGTGCTCTCTTTCTAATTTTTTCTTTTTTCAGTAGAGACAGGGTGTCTCAGTATGTTGCCCAGGCGGGTCTCGAACTCCTGAACTCAAGCAGGCCTCTCACCTTAGTCTCCCAAAGTGCTGGGATTACAAGCATGAGCCACCATACCTGGCCTCATAATTTTGTTTAACAGTTGATATAACACTAAGTTTTATAGACAAAAAGTCTATGTACCCTGTAAATATAATCATGTAAAATACAGGCGAGACCAAAGGACATATAAAAAGGAAAGAAATAGGGAATTGTGTAACAATGAAGAGGTGTTTTAAAGTAGCCACATTATTTTTATAATTTAGGATTAAAAACCTCGGCCGGGCACGGTGGCTCACACCCGTAAACCCAGCACTTTGGGAGGCTGAGGCAAGTGGATCACGAGGTCAGGAGTTCAAATCCAGTCTGGCCAAGATAGTGAAACCCCATCCCTATTAAAAATTAGCCAGGCACGGTGGCAGGCGCCTGTAATCCCAACTACTTGGGAGGCTGAGGTAGGAGAATCGCTTGAACCTGGGAGGCGAAGGTTGCAGTAAGCCAAGATCGCACCACTGCACTCCAACCTGGGTGACAGAGCGAGGCTGTCTCAAAATAAAAATTAGTTTTTCATAAAATGTTGAGGGAAATCTCCTGCAATGTTTCTTTTGTCTTTTTTTTTGATAAAACGCGGGCTTCTCTGCCAACACTCAGGTATCCGCTCCACACGCATCATCCTAAATGGGGACGCAGCCTTGCTGTTCCCAACATGTGGAACGGAAACAGTCTTCTCAGTGTTCTCAGCCCTCTATGGCCTCTTATTTCTTTATTTTTTTAGACAGGGGTTTGCTCTGTCGTCCAGGCTGGAGTGCAGTAGTACCATCGTGGCTCACTGCAGCCTCAACCTCCTGGGCTCAGGTGATCCTCCTGCCTCAGCCTCCTATCTGGGACTACAGGTGTGCACTATCACGAATGGCTAGTTTTTTTTTTTCTTCTTCTTCTTCTTCTTCTTTTTTTTTTAATAAGACAAATAATAAAGAAGAGGAAGAAAGAGAAAGAGGAAGAGGGAGAGAGGATGGGGGTATTGTTTCATTGCCCGGGCTAGAATGCAGTCTAAACATGGGTATGCCTATAATTGTCCTATAATGGAGACATGAAAGAAAATGAGGGAAGAGAGTAACAAACAAGGAGCCAACCAACATTTCGTTTAAGCTTCTAAGTTGATATGATGTGGTACTGATAAGAGTGTATGTTTTGTGTATTTAAAGTGGAGAGTTCTATAAATGTTGGCCGGGCGCGGTGGCTCAAGCCTGTAATCCCAGCACTTTGGGAGGCCGAGGCGGGTGGATCATGAGGTCGAGAGATCGAGACCATCCTGGTCAACATGGTGAAACCCCGTCTCTACTAAAAATACAAAAAATTAGCTGGGCATGGTGGCGCGTGCCTGTAATCCCAGCTACTCCGGAGGCTGAGGCAGGAGAATTGCCTGAACCCAGGAGGTGGAGGTTGCGGTGAGCCGAGATCGCACCATTGCACTCCAGCCTGGGTAACAAGAGCGAAACTCCGTCTCAAAAAAATAAATAAATAAATAAATAAATAAATAATATAAATGTTAATTACGTTTACTTGTTCCAGATCTGAGTTCAAGTCCTGGATATCGTTGTTAATTTTCTGTCTCATTGATCTGTCTAATATTAATGTTGAAGTCTCCCACTTTTATTGTGTGGGAGTGTAAGTCTCTTTATTAGTCTTGTATGTCTGGGTATTCCTGTATTGGGTGCATATATATTTAGGATCTTTAGCTCTTCTTGTTGTTGCATTGATCCTTTTATCATTATATAATGTCCTTCTTTGCTTATTTTGATCTTTGTTGCTTTAATGACTGTTTTATCAGAGGCAACAGTTGTAACTTCTGCTTTTTATTTATTTATTTTAGCTCTCTGTTTGGTTGGCAAATCCTTCTCCATCCCTTGTTTTGAGTCTTTGTGTATCCTTGAATATGAGATGGGTCTGGATGCAGCATACTGATGGGTTTTAGTTTTTTATTCAAATTGGCTATCTGTCTTTGGATTGGGGGATTTAGTCAATTTAAATTTAGAATTAATAATGACATATGTGAGTTTAATATTGCCATTTAATATTAGCTGGCTATTTTGCCCATTAGTTGATGTAAATTCTTCATTTTATTGATGCTCTTTTTAGTATTTTTTAGAAAGGCTGATACTGTTTGTTCCTTTCTATGTGTAGTGGTTCTTTCAGAAGCTCTTGTAAAGCAGGCCTGGTGGTGATGAAATCTCTGAGTGCTTGTTTATTCAGAAAAAAACTTTATTTTCCCTTCACTTGTGAAGCTTAGTTTGGCTGGATGTGAAATTCTTGGTTGAAAGTTCTTTTCTTTAAGGATGTTGAATATTGGTCCCCACTCTCTTCTGGCTTGTAGGGTTTCTGCTGAGAGATCTGCTGTAAGTCTGATAGGCTTCCCTTTGTGGGTAACCTGACCTTTCTCTCTGGCTGCCCTTAGTATTTTCTCCTTCATTTTAACCCTGGTGAATCTGACGATTATGTGCCTTGGAGTTGCTCTTCTTGAGGAATATCTCTGTGGTGTTCTCTGTATTACCTGGAGTTGAATATTATCCTGCCTTACTAGGTTGGGAAAATTTTCCTGAATAATATCCTGAAGCGTATTTTCCAGCTTGGATTCATTCTCTTCGTCACATTCAGGTACACCTATCAAGCGCAGATTAGGTCTTTTCACATAGTCCCATATTTCTTGGAGACTTTGCTCGTTCCTTTTTATCCTTTTTTCTCTAATCTCGTCTTCTTGTTTTATTTCATTGAGTTGGTCTTCGACCTCTGATATCCTTTCTTCTGCTTGATCAATTTGGCTGTTAAAACTTGTGCATACTTTGCGTAGTTCTCGTATTGTGTTTTTCAGCTCCATCAATTCACTTATATTCCTCTCTAAATTGTGTATTCTTGTTAACATTTCGTCAAACCTTTTTTTAAAGTTCTTAGTTTCTTTAGATTGAGTTAGAACAAGTTCTTTTAATTCACAGAAGTTTCTCATTATCCACATTTTGAAGCCTGCTTCTGTAATTGGAACACACTCGTTCTCCATCAAGCCTTGTTCCGTTGCTGATGAGGAACTGGGATCCCCTGCTGAGGGAGAGGCGTTCTGATCTTGGGCACTCTCAGCCCTCCTTGGCCGCTCTCCTCCCCTCGCTATAAACCCATCCATCTGTGGTCTTCGCGCTTTCCGTCTTTGTAATTGGGTTTCTGAGTGGACGTCCAACTTACTGATTCTCAGCGCCGAAATCTGAGCAACCCACTGCGCCGGCTAAATCAGCGGCGTTAAGATTGATGGTGCTTTTCTGACTCTGCATCAAGAACCGACGCTCCGAGGCGCCGGCAAAACCGCCTCGCCGGTCACAAGAGTTGCGCTGGCGACCCGTGGGGCTCCTCCGCTGGGAATCTCCTGGTGCGTGAGCAACAAGAACCCACGTGAAGGGGTGGCGTCCTCTCGTTCTCTGTGCCTTCACTGGGAGCTACAATCCGGCGCCGCTAGTGATCAGCCATCTTGGATCTCTCTCTTTTTCTTCTTTTATTGAGATGGAGTCTCGCTCTGTGGCCCAGGCTGGAGTGCAGTGGCATGATCTCAGCTCACTGCAGCCCTCACCTCCCAGGTCCTGGTTCAAACAATTCTCCTGCCTCAGCCTCCTGAGCAGCCAGGACTAAAGGCATGCGCCACCACGCCTGGCTAATTTTTGTACTTTTAGTAGAGATGGGTTTTCACCATTTGGCCAGGCTGGTCTCGGACTCCTGACCTCGTGATCCACCCGTCTTGGCCTCCCAAAGTGCTGGGATTACAGGCATGAGCCACTGCGCCCAGCCAAGTTTTTGAATTTTTGGTGGCGACTGGGTCTCACCATATTGCCCAGGTTTGAACACCTGGGGTCAAGCCATCCCCGCGCCTTCTTTAAACTCATCTCACTGATGCCTCCTCCAGGAAGCCTGTGCTGTTCCCTCAGCTTGAGGCTTCTTACCCGATCCGCCAAAGCCTTTCCTACAGCTCAGCAAAGGTTTGTGAAATGAAAAGCCTCACCTGCCTGCCTGCGGTGTAGGCCAAGCTGCAGGACCAGCCTGAAGCCATGCGTCCAGTTACCCTGGCCTCTGAATCACAGATGAGCTCTCATTTCTTCGCACTAATAAACCTTGTGACCCTCCACCCTGTACTCAGAGAACCCGCCCTCAGGTAGTTCCCTGTTGGTGACACACACAGCCCTGAGGCTGGACTAACAGGCAGACCAGGCTGGTGGACTCCAGCCCAAGCCTACCCGATGCTGCTGGGGTAAGGGCCTCCGAGATAGAGAGAGAGAGAGAGAGAGAGGAGAGAGAGAAAGAGAGAGAGAGGAGAGAGAGAGAGAGAGAGAGAGAGAGAGAGAGAGAGAGAGAGGACAGGGCCGGGAGAGAGAGAGAGAGAAGAGAGAGAGAGAGAGAGAGAGAGAGAGAGAGAGAGAGAGGACAGGGCCGGGTGTGGAGGAAGGCGGGGCCTGAGGCTGCTCCAGGCGAGTCGGTGTGTCCCCGGCTGGGACGGAAGTTGCACAAGTCCGATTAGTTTCAGTTTTGTTTCTTTTTCAGGCACCCAGCAACAGCGGCCTTCAGGCCCCAAGCCCCCACGCCATCCTAAAGGCCAAGATCAACTCTGGCTAGGTAAGGGGTGGGGGGAGGAAGGGCTGAGCTGAAGGGAGTAGGGGGAGGGGAGTGGAGAGAGAGCTCGGAGGAGGAGGAAGGGAGGGGAGCTGGGGAAAGAGGCACCCGGAAGGCAGGAGGAGAGGCCGGGCGGGAAGCCGCCCCCCTCCCGCAGGCCTGAGGCTCCCCTCGAGAAAGACCCCGTCCCACTTTCTGAGGTCTCCTCCCAGCCCCAGAAAAGGGGACATTCCACCAAGTTTGCCCAACAAGTAGGTCTCAGCCACTGTGCCAGGAGCTCAGGAGTCCCTCCCTCCGGAGGTTTCTGGAATGCATTCAGCAGGAAAAACGAACAGAACAGGACTCCAGGAGATAAGCCAAGGCCAAGTCCATCGGAGGGTGAGCCCGCAGCGGGAAGGGGACCAGCCCTTTCCCTGGCCTAAACCTTCCTTCTGCCCGCTCCAGAATCCACTTTAGAAACTGCTGGATACAGGAAGTGGGGCCTCCGCCACCAGCAATGCTGCCCCAGGTCTGGGAGAAGACAGGTGTACTGCCAGGCTGGTGCGGTGGCTCATGCCTGTAATCCTAATGCTTTGGGAGGCCAAGAGGGGAGGATTGCTTGAGGCCAGGAGTTGGAGACCAGCCTGGACAACATAGCGAGACCCCATCTCTACAAAAAGTAAAAAAAAATTTTTTAATGGGTTAGGCAGCCAGGTGTGGTGGCTCACGCCTGTAATCCTAGAACTTTGGGGAACTGAGGCAGGTGGATCACCTGAGATCAGGAGTTCAAGACCAGCCTGGCCAACATGGCGAAACCCTGTTTCTACTAAATGTACAAAAATTAGCAGGGTGTGATGGCACGTGCCTGTAATCACTGCACTCCAGCCTGGACAACAGAGTGAGACTGTCTCAAAAAAAAAGGGCTGGGCATGGTGGCACATGCCTGTACTCCCAGCTATTTGAGAGACTTGAGTTCAGGAGTTTGAGGCTGCAGTGAGCTGTGATCGCATCACTGCACTCCAGCCTGGGTGACAGAGGGTGACCCTATTGGTGAAAAGTAAAATAAAATATAAAGAAGGCGGGTGTATGGGGTTGGGGGATTAAAGCCCCCTAAAGTACTTCCAGATCCTACCTCAATTGGTAGAACCTAGGCATCTCTGCCCACTGGGGTTCCCGGCTGTGTCCTTACTGTTCTTCCCTTGCACCCCAGCACCCCATACAGCAGGGCCCCAGTACCTGTGCACACAGGAGGGCTTGCCTCACATTTGCCACCAGGCCTGTGGACTGGGGACACTGAGGATTCAATCACTAGCTAAGGCTAGGGACACCTGGTCTTGTCATTTCTCATAGGTCTGACCTGACCCAACAAGCAGCAGTGACATCTTCACGTTTGCTGGATGTACACGCGGAAGAGGAGGAGGAGGAGGAGGAGGAAGAGGGCAGCTCCTTAGCTCAAGACTTAGTGGTCCGAGGCCTCAGAGGACTAGAAGGAAGTTCCTGACCATTCAGGTGAGACCGCAGGTTTCTTCCCGGCCATTCAGGTCAGCCCCTAGCTCTGGGGATCCTGTCGGGCTTGAGGACCGGGGTAGAGCCTGGAGGGTGAGCTGGGGAAGGTGCCTTCTCACCTGTGATCCTGACGCTTCTGCCTGCAGCATGGTTTCCCATGGGTCCTCGCCCTCCCTCCTAGAGGCCCTGAGCAGCGACTTCCTGGCCTGTAAAATCTGCCTGGAGCAGCTGCGGGCACCCAAAACCCTGCCCTGCCTGCATACCTACTGCCAGGACTGCCTGGCCCAGCTGGCCAATGGCGGCCACGTGCGCTGCCCCGAGTGCCGTGAGACCGTGCCTGTGCCGCCCGAGGGCGTGGCCGCCTTCAAGACCAACTTCTTCGTCAATGGACTGCTGGATCTGGTGAAGGCCCGGGCCTGCGGAGACCTGCGTGCCGGGAAGCCGGCCTGTGCCCTGTGTCCCCTGGTGGGGGGCACCAGCGCCGGAGGGCCGGCCACGGCCCGGTGCCTGGACTGTGCCGACGACTTGTGCCAGGCCTGTGCTGACGGGCACCGCTGCACCCGCCAGACTCACTCCCACCGCGTGGTGGACCTGGTGGGCTACAGGGCAGGGTGGTACGACGAGGAGGCCCGGGAGCGCCAGGCGGCCCAGTGTCCCCAGCACCCCGGGGAGGCACTGCGCTTCCTGTGCCAGCCCTGCTCGCAGCTGCTGTGCAGGGAGTGCCGCCTGGACCCCCACCTGGACCACCCCTGCCTGCCCCTGGCCGAGGCTGTGCGTGCCCGGAGGCCAGGCCTGGAGGAGCTGCTGGCTGGTGTGGACAATAACCTGCTAGAGCTGGAGGCAGAACGGAGGGTGGAGAAGGAAACGCTGACCCGGCTGCGGGAGCAGGCAGCCCGGGTGGGGACACAGGTGGAGGAGGCGGCCGAGGGCGTCCTCAGGGCCTTGCTGGCCCAGAAGCAGGAGGTGCTGGGGCGGCTGCGAGCCCACGTGGAGGCTGCCGAAGAGGCTGCTCGGGAGAGGCTGGCAGAGCTCGAGGGCCGGGAGCAGGTGGCCAGGGCGGCGGCCGCCTTCGCCCGCCGGGTACTCAGCCTGGGGCGAGAGGCTGAGATCCTTTCCCTGGAAGGGGCGATTGCGCAGCGGCTCCGGCAGCTACAGGGCTGCCCCTCGGCCCGGGGGCCGTCCCCCTGCCTGGTCCCACAGCTGGAGCTCCATCCTGGGCTCCTGGACAGGAACTGCCACCTGCTTCGGCTGTCCTTCGAGGAGCAGCAGCCTCAGAAGGATGGTGGGAAGGATGGAGCCGGCACCCAGGGAGGTGAGGAGAGCCAGAGCCAGAGGGAGGATGCCGCAAAGACAGAGAGACAGGGTGGGACCCAGCTCCAGGCCAGAGATGAAGCCCAGACCCCAAAAGAGATAAAAGCCCAGACACCCCGAGAAGACAAAGCACCGATGCCCCAAGAAGATGGAGCCCAGACCTTGGAAGAGGACAGAGCCCAGACGCCCCACGAGGATGGAGGACCCCAGCCCCAGAGGGGTGGCAGGTCCAACAAGAAGAGGAAGTTCAAGGGCAGGCTCAAGTCAGTCTCCCGGGAGCCCAGCCCAGCCCTGGGGCCGAACCTGGACAGCTCTGGCCTCCTCCCCAGGCCCATCTTTTCCTGCAGTTTCCCCACACGGATGCCTGGAGACAAGAGGTCCCCCCGGATCACCGGGCTCTGTCCCTTCGGCCCCCGGGAGATCCTGGTGGCAGATGAGCAGAACCGGGTGCTGAAACGCTTCTCCCTCAATGGCGACTACAAGGGCACCGTGCCCGTCCCTGAGGGCTGCTCTCCTTGCAGCGTGGCGGCCCTGCAGAGCGCCGTGGCCTTCTCTGCAGGTGCAAGGCTCTATCTCATCAGCCCCGACGGTGAGGTGCAGTGGCGCCGGGCCCTGAGCCTCTCCCAGGCCAGCCACGCCGTGGCTGCGCTGCCAGGTGGGGACCGCGTGGCCGTCAGCGTGGCGGGTCATGTGGAGGTGTACAATATGGAAGGCAGCCTGGCCACCCGGTTCATCCCTGGGGGCAAGGCCAGCCGGGGCCTGCGGGCGCTGGTGTTTCTGACCACCAGCCCCCAGGGGCATTTCGTGGGGTCGGATTGGCAGCAGAATAGTGTGGTAATCTGCGACGGGCTGGGCCAGGTGGTTGGGGAGTACAAGGGGCCGGGCCTGCACGGCTGCCAGCCGGGCTCCGTGTCTGTGGATAAGAAGGGCTACATCTTCCTGACCATTCGAGAAGTCAACAAGGTGGTGATCCTGGACCCGAAGGGGTCACTCCTTGGAGACTTCCTGACGGCATACCACGGCCTGGAAAAGCCCCGGGTTACCGCCATGGTGGACGGCAGGTACCTGGTCGTATCCCTCAGTAATGGGACCATCCATGTCTTTCGGGTCCGTTCTTCAGACAGTTAAAGGGTCTAGGACTAGGGTGGGGAGGAGGGGGGAGGGAGAGGGCGGGGGGAGGCAGAGCTGTCTGTGGGAGAGGACATGTTCCTGAAGGGCAGGGGTTGGCAACTTTTCAACATGACGTGCCAAACTGCTAACCTGTCTTCCAGTGTGTGAGAATAGGGACCAAGCGTGGTGGCGTGACCTTAACTCTCAGAAGCCGGGGAGGCAGGTGGCTGGGTGCGGGGGACGCTGGGGGTTCACCTGCCTCTTGCCTTTTGTGGATGGCTGCTGCCACTGCCATATAGTTTAGGTTTTTGAGGTTTGTGAGCCTGTCATGATTTGCATTCTTCAAAAGCATTCCTGATAGAGTAGCTGAGGGAGAGTCTTGGGGGGTCAAGAAGGGCCCAGGGTGGGTCAGGCGTGTGCATTATGGAACAGAGCTCCGACCCCTTCGGACTGGCACAGGGTTCTACAGAGTCAGAGGAGGCCTGAGATGTCGAATGGGCAGTAAGTGGCCTCTTCTGCCAGCCACAGGCAGGAAGTTCCCGTGATCACGGCATCCCCCCGCGGCAGTACCAGGTGGGCTTGCGGGAGGGTGGGTAAGTGCAGACAGCAGCTGGGACCAAAGAGGGGTTAGGGTCAAAGGCTGTGAAGAAAATAGGCTACTGAAAAACCAAACCCAGCAGAATTTGTGTCCAAAAATCCACATTCTCCATTGCTTCTCAGTCTTTTGGCTAAGACTAAGTATTGAAAAACACAGGCTCGGGCAGGCACAGTGGCTCACACCTGTAATCCCAGTACTTTGGGAGGCTGTGGCAGGAGGACCGCTTGAGGCCAGGAGTTTGAGACCAGCCTGGGCAACATAGTGAGACTCCATCTCTACAAAAAATTTAAAAAATTAGCTGCATGTGGTGACGCATGCCTGTCAACCCAGCTACTCAGGAGGCTGGGGTGGGAGGATCCCTTGAGCCCAGGAGTTCAAGGCTGCTGTGAGCTGCGATCACACCTCTGCATTCCAGACGGTATCTCAAAAGAAACAAAACAAAACGAAACAAAAAAACCCAAAACAGAAACAACAGAAAAAGCAGGTTATCCATCACTTCTCAGCTAAGATCAAGTATAAAACAAAACAGGTTGTGAGTATCAGAGCAGGGAGCCCTCCACGCAGCCACAGAGCCAAGTTTAACGCTTCTGATTTGATGTTTTCACGTTTCCCGGGGTCTGTGTGTTGCCGTCACTTAGCTTTCCAGCAAAATTCCTTTTGAGATGTGTTGGCCTTCACTTGGCTGAACTAGCAGGTGAAGGAAGTTGTCCTCTGCGGGCCACTGTTGCTGGGGAAACGGCTGAACCCTGCAGGCCAAGTGGAACTTGGGGGCGTCAGTGGAACGTGAGAAGTTACGGTGGGGCTGTGAGGGAGAGAGGTCAAAGCAGAAGGCAGAAACCCGCCAGAGGTGGGCTGTGACCGCCGGACCTTTGCCTAAGTGGTGGCAGTGGTGGGATTGAGGGGCAAGTAGGTTTGGAGAATGTTTTTAGCCAGGGGGCTGTTGAGAGATGGCAGAAGGGAGTCTTAACGTGGGGACTGTGGTTAGGGGGGCGTTCATGGGAACCAGAGGGATTTTAGACAGGTCCAGATGGAACGCACAGGGCATTGGTAGAGGGAAAAGAAAATCCTTTTCTGGGAAAACCGTTTCTTGTTTATTGAAACAATGGGGGACATCATCAAAGTCTGGGTGGACACATTTCAATTTTCTAAACATTACAAAGGTAGGCACTGCAAAGAATAATGACGATTATAAGAAAACGGAGGGCTGGGTGCGGTGGCTCACGCCTGTAATCCCGGCACTCTGGGAGGCTGAGGCGGGTGGATCACCTGAGGTCAGGAGTTTGAGACCAGCCTGGCCAAGATGGTGAAACTCCATCTCTACTAAAAATACAAAAACTAGCCGGGTATGGTGTGCACCTGTAATCCCAGTTACTTGGGAGGCTGAGGTAGGAGAACCATTTGAACCCAGGAGATGGAGGTTGCGGTGAACTGAGATTGTGCCACTGCACTCCAGCCTGGGCAACAAGAGTGAAACTCCATCTTAAAAAAAAAAAAAAAAAAAAAAAAAAAACCAAGAAGATGGAAAACCACGTAGAACTGATTTGATGAGGACAAGTTTGGTCTCTAATACATGAACTAGTGACTAGAACAGTATTTGGTCAAAAAACCACTTAAGCTCTACACCCAGGAGGAAATGCATGCAGGCAAGGACTAGTAAAATGAACAATTATAATTTTTTTTAAAAAAGCTGGACACAGTGGCTCATGCCTGTAATCCCAGCACTTTGGGAGGCCGAGGCGGGTGGATCACCTGAGGTCAGGAGTTTGAGACCAGCCTGGCCAGTATGGTGAAACCCCATCTTTACTAAAAATACAAAAATTAGCTGAGTGTGGCGTCGCATGCCTGTAATCCCAGCTACTGGGGAGGCTGAGGCAGGATAATTTCTTGAACCCGAGAGGTGGAGGTTGCAGTCAGCTGAGTTCCTGCCATTGCTCTCCAGCCTTGGTGTTGCAGTGAGATTCTGTCTCAAAATAAAAAAATTAAAAAAATTTAAAAAATTAAAAAAGAAGAATAAATCCACTTGCATTGGTCAAAATGTTAAAAATATCTTGTGGTGAAATGGACTCCTGGCACTATAAAAATGATATTTCCTGGAGAATAATTTGGCAAGACTTTGCAAGAATGGCAAGAATGATTATAAGAATAGGTTGTCTCACTTTGGGGAATACATTCCGGGAAAATAATGTCAGAGAAAAAATATTTGGATACAGACACTTGCGGCTACTCTATACAGTACAGTCAAGAACTGGAAACTGTTCAGCTGGCGGGTGACAGCTAAGTCGATTTTGGCTATTAGGGGAATGAGCCTTTGTGCATGACAACTATGAAAACTGTTGAAAGAAATAGTTACACGGTGCAGTCATAATCCCCAAAAGCGGAGAATCTGGAATTGTGATCAAATGGTGATTGTAACAAGGGAAACATCTGTCTGAATAATTACTGGGTAGAAATAGGTTCGGAATTTGTAAATAGTCATTGATTTGGGAGATCGGGGTTCGGTTTTTTTTATAGTTATTTTGTGCTATTATTCATACATGCACATTTCTACTTCAGTTTTTATTATCCATTACATAACATATGTGCTTGGATATTTGCTTCAAGGAAATACACCTTTATAAGTGATATTCAGTAACTATTGGGTTTGAGAATGAAGGTGTCGGAACAAAGGAGATTGTCCTATGAGAGAAGAGACAGGAGCCAGGGAGGGGATCCCAGCTGGCCAGGGCTCAGCCAGGAGACAGGGCCATCAGGCAGGGTGGCAGACCAAGGAACCACTCTGGGAAATTTTGCAAAGGTCAGGGTCCCTCCCCAACCCCCGACAGGTGAGTGAATTATTGGAGTATCTGGAAGGCAGGGGAAGTTTTGTTGAGTTTGCCAAATAACTCAGACCAACTGGAAACCATGGAGTTTCTAGAGGACCAACTAGAATACGGATCAGCTATGTGGCGGAGGGGGGTGGAGGGTGGTGGGGGACGATGTGTGTCTTTATTGCAGCTCTGTCTGCAGAGCTAGCACTGTGAGAGCTCATAGTAGGTGCTCCGTGAATGTCTGTGAAGTGAATTAATATCCAGAAAGGGATTTCTTGGAAATGGTATGACCCTTTCCAAAGCTTTCCCACCTGAAACGCCATTGTCCTGGTCAGCCAAGCTGTCCAAAACCTCAGCTTGTGGGAAATCTCCAGTAGGGGTCACTGTGGACATGGTTCAGCATCTGCCTTCCAAAGCTGGGCTCCGGTGGAAAAAAAAAAAGAGGTGAAATTGGGCCAGTACAGTGGTCATTCCTGTAATCTCAGCACTTTGCATGGCCAAGGTGGGAGGATGGCTTGAGGCCAGGAGTTCAAGACCAGGCTGAACATAGCAAGGCCCCATCTCTACAAAAATTTTTTTTAAATTAGCCAGACATGGTGGCATGCACCGGTAGTCCCAGCTGCTTGGGAGGCTGGGGCGGAAGGATTGCTTGAGCCCAGGAGTTCAAGGCTGCAGCAGTGAGCTCTGATTGAGCCATAGCACTCCAGCCTGAGTGACAGAGCAAAACCTGGTTTATAAAAAAAAAAGGTGGGGGGGGGGGAGAGAGGAGATCGAGGTGTCCGCTTTCGTGCATGTGGAGGGGGTAACTGGGAACTGTGAGCTGTTGGGAATCGCACACCTTGGGGTGGGAACAGCAGCTCTCCAGAGTTGCGTGGGAGCCATGGGCAGTGGCCCTGCCTGGTGAAATGATTCTAGCCACGTGGCCCACCCAGGGGGCAAAACAGGAATAGAGACCTTTAGAAATGAAACGTCACCTGGCTGCAAGAATATAGTCCCAAGTGCCCTAGAGATGGGGACACCAAGAGGCTTCCTGGGAAGCTGTAAGAATCCACAGGGCATTGTAAGATGGAGGGAGATATTAAGTTTTCTTTGTAAAGAGTTGAGGGGGGTCGGTAGCAGCAGAGAACACTGGAAAAATGAGAAAGATGGATGGGAAGTGTTGCATCGAGCTCAATTTGGAGCTAAAATCTCCAACACTGTTACCGAGTGGCGGGGGGACCCCATAGAATGTCCTGCTCAGGACCGAGGCAAAGAGTTCCCAGTTGTATCACAGATGCAAAGAAACCAGGAACATGCCTATAATCCCAGCACTTTGGGAGGCCAAGGTGGGTGGATCACCTGAGGTCAGGAGTTCAAGACCAGCCTGGCCAACATGGTGAAACCCCATCTCTACTGAAAATACAAAAATTAGCTGGGCTTGGTGGCGCATGCTTGTAGTCCCAGTTACTCAGGAGGCTGAGGCAGGAGAATCACTTGAACCCAGGAGGCAGAGGTTGCAGTGAGCCGAGATCACCCAGCCAACTGCATTGCACCTGGGATTGTGACAATTAACTTAATAGATTCTTCCTTTTCCTGTTCTGAACTGGCTAGGTTGTGCATGGACGGAACAGTGAAAAGAGAATCCTGTCTGGGTAGGGAGGAGGGAAGTAGAAAGCCTCTTTCGTATTCTTGGTGCCAAGAAATGGGAAGAGAATGAGGGAGCAGAGACTCTGCACTAAACAGCTGTGTGATCTTGGTCCAGTTCCTTAACCTCTCTGAGCTTCAGTTCGTATACATCAGTAATGTCGGGATAATGACATCCCCTATGCCCACTTCACAGAGCTGCTGTGGGGATTGGATGAGAAATGCAGACGAGTATTTTTGGACACTGTAAAGCTCAAATCCAAGGTATCAGTTGGGAAAAAGTTCAACTGACTTGTAGCCACCTGAAACTCTCCATCAGCATGAGTTTATATGAGGATGTTAGGTACATGTATTGTGCAGTGACAGCTCGGGGACACCGGAGTGGAGCTCCTGCACTCAGCTTCTCCTTTAGAGGAGACCATTGTGTTTTGCTTTCGGCAGTTACTTAAAGAAGCCATATCTGAAGTCACAGCAGTGGCTTCAGGAATAGAAGGGACCAACGGCCAGCTTGTGGAAATGCAATGCCATTCCCAAAAGCCAGCTAAGAATCAGACCGTATTAGTTAAGAGCCCATAACCGTAGACATTTAGAAAAAGTTAAAAATGGCAAAAGTGGCCCAAACTTTTGAGAATTTAGAGAAATGGCCATTTGGAGAGGGAGTAGTTCTCCTTCTATTATAGCCTGATTATTATGACATTATAAAGCAATGCCATATTCTAAATCTGCAGAGATAAGATTCTAAGGGGTGAAAGTCTGAGGCTGAAGTGAAGAGCTTTGCAAGGAAATTGATGAGGTTGGTGACCTGAGCTGGGCAGGGTTGGACAGGTGAGTGCCAAGATCAAGGTATCTGATTGTCTCTCCTTGAAACGTAAACAGAGAACTAGGTCTATCCCATAAATTAAGTGGGAAATTCGATAGGGTGCAGACTTCTGTATTGGGGAGAAGGTCTTGGATGAGCTGGGGTGGAGAACTGCCAGAGAGAGTACCCAGAGATA